TCAAATTTTTAGCAATTTTGAACTTCCGAATAGATTAAAGGGCTTTTTTTTTGGAATTTTAAAATTCAATTTTCAGAGAATTCAGATTTTTTGGATTTTCAGCATTTTTTGATTTTTCTCGAATTTCGAAACTTTCAAAAATTATTGTCAAATTTTAGAATTTCTAAAGTTTTCGAATTTTCGATTTTGGAAATTTTTAGATTTTTCAATTTTTGAAAAGTTTTAGAATTTCAACAAATTTAATAATAATTTTGATAATAAAGATAGGAATTTCAGGATTTTTGAGTTTCCAGAATTTTTGAATTTTTGAATTTTTGAAATTTTCAGAATTATAAGATTTTCAAAATTTTAGGATTTTCAAATTTCAGAGTTTTGGAATTTTTGGATTTTTCAAAACTTAAGTTCTCCGAGCATTTTGATCCAAAATCGATAATTTTGTTACAGATCGGTAGGAGATTTATTCTTGGATAACATGAAGAATGTGAATTTCGTTTAGTACAGAAATCAGATTTCGAGGATCAAAGTGGGCGGAGTTAGGGCCTTTTAACTGTTCTTGGTTGGTAGCTCCGCCCATATTGATTCGAAATTGCTGATTTTTATATCAATTGAGTGGAAATAAAATTTCAAAAGGAATGAGGAGAATTTCCCTTCGATTGGTGCAAAAATCAGCGATTTTGGATCAAAATGGGCGGAGCTTTGACCATTTGACTAGTTTTGACTCTAACTTCACCCATTTTGATCCAAAATCGCTGATTTTCGTACCAATCGATTGGAAATTGAGTTTTACGCAATGTTCTACAGTAATCTTCCAGGTTGCACCCCATCCCTGGACCAAATTTGCGCTCGAAACGGAACGGAAGTTTTATCGAATCTCAGCTTCAAGGCAAACAATTTTTGGATCGATATCGGTGTGATGGGCTTTATGATTTTCGCATTTCGATTCCTCGCCTTCCTCGCTCTCTTCATTCGTGTCAAGAGACGCAATTGATTTATCGATTTATTGATTTTTGGACATTTCTAACTTGCTTTTTTTGTAAATAAGCTTCTTTTTTTTCACTAGACTAGATTATATTTTTCTTTGTTGTCTGTTTTTTTGAATGAATAAAAAATATGAGACTGGAGAAGAGGAAAATTGCATTCGATTGGTACAAAAATCAGCGATTTTGAATCAAAATGGGCGGAGTTAGGACCATTTGACTGTTTTTGGTGTGTAGCTCCGCCCATTTTGATCGAAAATCGATGATTTTTGTACCAATCGATTTGAAATCGAAATTTACAGAAGATCCAATCGAAAAATCTGCGACAAGCACTGAAATTTCGAAAAAAAAAACAGCGAAATTCTTAAATGTCGATTTTTGAACTCTAGATCCGCCTATTTTGATCTAAAACCTAGAATGTTTGGATCAATCGATCATATGTTTGATATCTAATAGCATGATCTTATGTAAAACTGAATTACCAATCGATTGGTACAAAAAGCAGCATTCTAGGATCAAAATGAGAGGAGTTATGGTTATCCGAAAGTTTTCAGGTCATAGCTCCGCCCATTTTGATCCGAAATTGCTGATTGTTATATCAATCGAATGAGAATTGAATTTCCAATCGCTTGGTATCAAAATTATGTGCGGGCAGACTAACAAACAGTGAAAGAGACGCAACTTCATAGAATGATTGTAGTCGAAGTTCAAAAAAAAAGAAGGTAAGATCAATTGATTCACTTCTTTCTTATTTTCAGTTTGAACCATCAGAAACATTCCGAATGATTCCTGTTTCTTGTAGATCATCTCACGGCATGAATTGTCTGATTTCAGTACCAGGAATTGAAAAAAAGGTATCTTGAAGTTCATTTCTAGATCCTCCACCAGCATTTCCTATTGCTCCTGATCCAGTTCTTCCTTCATGATGTGCTCCTCGCTCCGGATCTAGCATTCGTGGTTCCTGTCGATGCACCATGTTGCAGAGTCACGTGTATATCAAGAAGGCGAGCGTCGATCCGTGGAGCGATCGAGGAAGGACCCAGGACCCAGGACCCAGGACCCAGGACCCAGGACCCAGGACCCAGGACCCAGGACCCAGGACCCAGGACCCAGGACCCAGGACCCAGGACCCAGGACCCAGGACCCAGGACCCAGGACCCAGGACCCAGGACCCAGGTTCCAGGACCCAGGACCCAGGACCCAGGACCCAGGACCCAGGACCCAGGCTCCCCTCTATGGAGCCCAGAGAAAGAGAGAACTGATTCTTTCCTCCAATTCTCTCTTCTTTTATAGTAATTTCCCCAAGGTTAATGGGTCATTCGGATCGTACCAATTTACGTAGATTTTTTGATTCTATAATTTTTTAAGGTTTTTCATTTTTTTGCCACGTGAGAATTGAATTTCGATTTTTTTTCCGCAAAAAGTTTTTTCGTCACGTTTAAATAACACAATTTTTAAATCGTTTTTCTAAAATCTGTGAAACTTGTCTTTGAGATTTTCTCTTTGAACCTAATTATCTCGTTTCTTGTATGAGATATCAAAGAGCAAAATATTCTCGATAATATGATAAACATTTCATCAGTTGATCACTTTTTTGATATCTTTCACAGGAACCGAAAAAAAGTTGGTCAAAGTTTACGGTTTGAAGATACCGTAAACTTTGAGCCCATATATCTAGTTTTGTGTTTAAGATATCAAAAAGTGGTCAACTGATAAAATGTTTATCATATTATCACCAACATTTTGTTAGTTGACCACTTTTTGATATCTCTTATAGAAATTGAGATAATTGAGCTCAAAGGGTAATTAACATTGATTCGATGTCAAAAGTTGGGGGGGGGGGGGTGCCATTCTATTAGAGCGCTCTCGATATTTTTTGATTCCGAAATTTTTAATTTCTTCATCTGCAACTTTTCTCGTTTTCAAATAATTAATTTTTTTTAAACTTTCAGATTTTCAGAAATTCAGAATTTTCAAAAAAAATTTCATTTTCTTTTTCGTATTATTCGATTTCTATAATTTTCAAAAAATCAATTTTCGAAATCTACACAGTCCAGAAATTCTTCGATTTTTTCAAAAAAAAAAAACTATTTTTTAGTATTAAAACGAATTTTTATTTTTTTCAAATCAGATACAATTTCTGTGTGTTGTGAGAAAATGAAAATAAAATGAGGCCAGGACAAGACAAAAAAACGGGTTTTGACGAAAAAAATGGGAGGAGAAATGAAAGATTGGGGGAGGGAAAAAGGGGGCGGGACTAAAAAAAAATAAAGGTCTGAAATTAGAAAAAAAAAATCAATATTCGGATGAAAAAATCATGAATAAATGGGAAATATATATATATAGGGATTCGAGAGAAAGGGGGAGAGAAAAAGAGAGAAAAATCAACATTTTTAAATTGATTTTTGGCTTCGCCCCTTGAAAAAGGGGCGTGGTCTATTTCAAAAAAAAAATCCTAATCGACTTGATATTCCCCCCAAAAAAAGTGGGCGGAGCCAATTCCGTTGAAAATTCACTTTAAACAGTCGATTTCAATTTTTCAACATAGGCCACGCCCCCGAAAAATGGGCGGAGCCTAGAATTCCTTTAAAAAATGATGCCATTTTTCTCTCGATTTCAAGAAATTGAAAGTACAATATAATCAAAAAATCAAGGAGAATGGGGGGAAAAATCTAAAAATCTAAAAAAAAATGAAAATTCTGAAAAATCGATTTTTTCAGAATTTTTCAAAAATGAGCGATTTTTAAAGACAAAATTTTTGATTGGGAATGGGTAATTGGGTAATTTCAGAAGACCGAAAAAAAAATCAATATATAGATTTTTTCAGAATAATTCCTAAACTGGTGATTTTTCTAAAAGAGAAAAAACAATAATAAAACTACAAAACAACGATGAATCTACCCCAAAAAAATCAATAGAATTTTTAGAATTTTCTATTTTGATCGGAAGGAAAAATCGATAAAAAATACGATTTTAAGCTGAAAAAAAATCGATAAAAATTGGGAAAAAATGGATGGGAAATATCACAATATTTCTATATTTTAAGAAATAAATTCTAAATTTATCAAAAATTCAAATTTATAAAAAAAAATCATTTATGTTTGGACGCTGGTGTTGAGCACTGAGTCGATGAGACGGGCGTTTGGAATAGCTCGGGACGGGTCTGATGTTCGACGACTCCTGGTCCGCCGAGTGGTGGTTGCCACACTTCGAAACCGTGACTGCGTAGCTCACCGTCAATCATATCGAGCAGCGTTTGGGGCGTGTCTGAAAATGTATTCAATTATTCATTGATTGACACAAAAATCAGACATTTAGGATCAAAATGGCATGGATTTTTTGGTTTTTTCCTATTTTTAAATATCCCCAAAAATGCGTTTTTTTTAAATTTGCTTATCGACTCTTTTCGTTGTTTTTTTTTTGCTTGTTTCCTGCAATTCCAAATTTCCAGAATTGAAAAAAAATCTGGATTTTCAGAATTTCGATATTCGTGATTAAGGCTTCCATTCGGTCGGGAAAT